TTTGATTATTGCAAAAAGTCAGTCGAACCATAGTATGGATGTTGTTCAATGTTATGTGCTGTAAGTTGCGAAATGGAACATGATGGGCTAAAATACGAGTTGTTATTAATAGAAACTCTGTAATCTATTTGAGTTTTACATGTTATATTTTCGTAAAACTGAAGTCATAGACTGTTTCTCGAAAGAAATGGTGACTGAACGAAAGCAATGCTGTGTAAATAACTAGAGGAATTACTTCGAACATTCGATGAAATAAACAGTTGAATTAACTTGTTTCTGTGTTTTCTTTTCTCCTAAATCTCATTACTTTTGGCATGCTCTGTTACTTTCTTTGACTTTTAAAAATTTTCTCTACTCTTAGAAATTCTCGACTGTAGCGATCAACTGACCACTCTGGTATAGATGTTAGTCTTCTCATCGCTCACATGCTCTTTCTACTAATGTATACCTTCTTCTACATGAATTTAATTGTAGTTTTCATTTCAATATCATACTCACTTTGATACCTAATTGTCAAAGTTCTTCATTTCTATCATCTTTGTCCGAATTATTTATCTTGAAAATTCCAATGAGGATGTACACTTTCAAGCCATTATTTATATCTCGTTGTGATGATGGAAAATATTAGTTTTATGTCAATGACGAACTTCACTATCGATTTTCATCATAAAATTAAGCATGACGGCTAATATTTTTCTTGATTAGCAATATTCATCAATGACTAAAACAACAAGTCTTCGATCAACAGTGCATATTTGTAAGACATTGAAAGAAGAACAAAACCTCTAGGTTACTTTACATTATTGGAATTCCAAATTGCAGTTCAATATAATATTGCTATCTGCTTTTTATAACAAAAGAATATTATCAATCGTATTTCAGTTTTGCATCTGTGTCGCTTAAGATGTGAACCAAATAACAATCATAAATTTAATAGAAAATTATTTTTATTACAAAACGACGTATTCTAGTAGAAAAAACTTCAATATCCGAAATGAGAGATTAAACACTAAGTGCGAAATGTGCTTGAAAATTGGACACTAATTCACCACATACCTATACTCTTAAACTCAGTTCATTTTCTCTCATATTGAAGTTAAAACGTTCGAAGATCGTGCATACTTTAAAAACTAACGATCTATGTATCGTTACGATAGAAAAAAAAGAGATTTATCTTTATGTATCTCTGCTGTAAAGACTGAGGTGTGAGTATGCCTATATCTATTTACAATACTCACAGTCACAGCCACACCCATGCTCTCGTTCAATTTATTGAAGATCATGCATCATCAATAATGATTTGTGTTGAAGATGGTTGGGATACAACTGCTCAAAACTCGTTTCAATAAGGGAATTATTACTTGATCCATATTATTGAACATTTGAAGGATTTCAAACATTAATTGAACGTGAATGATTTGCATGTGGACATAGTTTTTCACATCGATCAAATCAAACAGCAACAAATAAAAGTGGTTTTACACCAGTTTTTCTTCAATTTCTTGATCTTGTTGATCAAGATATTAATCATAAGATGTCAAATAATTCAAAGAAAATCTTTTAAAGATGTGAAATCAATATCCAAGTGAATTTGAATTGAAACAATATTATCTTCGTTTTCTTGCTTATCATCATTTATCAAATCGTTTTAAAAATTTTATACTTAATTGTGATTGTGAACGTAAAAAAGATCGTAATTGGTATGTTGATACAACTCATGATTCATTAACGAGTGATATTACTGGTAAATTTATTTCATTTATTATTTCATAGAAGAAAAACAACTTGTTTTCTTTTAAGATTTATGTCGTTGTAATATAATAAATATTTGAGATTATATAACAAAACTTAATCGAGAATCAGCTGGATTTTATAATTTTCTTTATTCATCATCAAATGATATTTGTGTTCTTCGTCCATTATATAAAAAAATTTGCACTTGATATATGGGATTTTTATTTACGTGATTGTCCATATAATTTTGATATAGCTCTAGCTGAACATGAAGAACATTTAAAGGGTGCAGAATTAAAACAACGTACAAAATGTATATCAGCTATTTATGATGATATTAGTATTTCTTTACCAGATTTTTTTAATGATATCGTTTCTTTAAGAGAAATTTTTTATTTAATGACTAAGTGTTTGAAATATATTTTCTTTTTCGTTCTAGGAAATGTCTAATATATTACAATATATAAATACAGAATCATGGACAATTTATTAGGATTTAAATTGAAAAACCTGAACAAGAAAAAGTTCAGGTATATGTGTCACAGAAATGATTTATTTTAGGCTTTGGAATCGCAATTTTTTTCTAGTGTCATATAGAGTTCGGGATGATTTAACATGAATGCAAACATTTGTGTTTTTCTTTTTTGTCTTAATAGTTTTTGAAAACAAACAATATGTCTTAAAATGAGTTGTTTTTTAAATTAGACAGAAAAAGATACTTAAAAATAGTAAAATGATGACCTGTTTTTCGTTGATATACCTTTTCAATTTTATAAAGTTTTTTTTATAACTGCAGTTACCATGTTTCAACATCAAAACAAAAAAGGAAATGAATTACATGCTATGGAAAAACATGATACAAAGAATTTTACATATATACAGTAGTGGACAAAAATCTTCGTCTCAGTCGCTGTCGACCAGTATATATGCTGGAGATCTGGAAATTTGTGGACACATAGTTCACTAAGAATGTAAATTATTGGCATTGTGGCACTATTGGGTGTGGGTGTGCTATGTTAATTTCATTGAAGTTCATCAATCCTTTTAAAGATTATATTCATTATTGTAAAGAGAAACCATCTACAGCTTTTTGAATGTCAATAACTGACGAGAGTGCGTTCTCAAGTATCACGCCGTTTTTAAGCTGTAACTATGTTCAACCGATAGGACTTAATGAGTAGATAAATACTCTGGAGTGTTTTCGCACTGCTAGGTTTGTGTTGCTGAGATGTCAAATTTTTAGTGAATTTTGGCTTGAGACTTGGAAATATTTGATAAAAATTCGATACCCCAGCATAAAAAAGTCCTACAATACAAACCACTCCAGAATATTTACTTACTTGCTAAGTCTCATCGACTGAATATAGCCACACCTTAAAGGCGATGCAACACTTAGGAACATTCCCTTCTGACTGATAGTGCACATCAATATTCCAGCAAATAAACTGAAATTTTAGTTGAAGAAAGACCGTAGATGGGACTTCAGCTAGATGTTAAAATGTAGAGAATCAAGTATATTTTTTAATAGAAAAAAACCCAAAATTTTGTTTTACAAGTAATCTTTATAATCTTACCCTACTTACTAACATATAGATATATGAATTCTATTAGAAGAACCTTTAATATAACTTAAAAAATTAATTTTATAGCGTCTATCAATGCAAGATGAAAGATATAAACGAATGAAGAAAATATTTATCGAATGTTTTTTTTAGATGAAGCTTTATTTGAAGTAGCACAGAAACTTTGGACAAGATACGTTTAATGAAAATTAGAAATAACGGATAAAATTTAACAAGAAATTCTGCATGTTTCTTCAGTAATCTTTTGAAATTAAAAAGAATTTTGAGAGATTTGATCTAATCGAATGATTTTATTTAAAGTATTCAACAATTAACTGTTGATATAACAAATACTTTTATGATCAAGTCGTCTTCATCAACTTCGATTAACAAAAGTAAAATGTGAACAACTTCAATTACATCGATCAACAATTCTTGTAAAAATAAATTTTTTCCGCCCCACAAAAAAATCAAGCACTTTTTTGGTTTATTTAAAGGATGCTTTATCTTTAGTAGTCTTTGTTCATGTTTCAAGTGTTCAAGAAAATCTTGATAATGAGTATCGTCGATTAGAACAAGTAGAAACATCTTAATCGTTTTTTTTTTATTAAAAAATTTTTCTTGTTTATGTGAAGAATGTCTTGCTATTCAACATGATTTATTACGTGAACGTGATTTATGGAATTTTGATGAACTTGATTTTATCAAAGAACTACATCGGATGCGTCAACGAATCGTACGTAATGAAGATTTCTATAAATATTATTCATATCGTATACCAGTTGAACAAACGGTTAGGAAAATATCTGAAAACATTCAGATTATAAAAGATATTTCAGTCTGCAATGAGAGAATTAAGGAGCATCCTCTCCTTAAAAACCTAAATTCCGTGTAGTATACATTGTATTTGAACGACACTTTCTACATTTGTTCAACCCATGGAAATACATAAATAAAAAAGGTCTGTCAACTTCACGCTTTACTGTTCAGAAGTTCTCTAGATTTCCATGTACAAGCGTTTTTCAGTGTACTTCAATGTATAGACTTTGAGCTAGTTTATTTGAAAGAGAATTCTTTATCATTACAGATGAGAGAAACGGATTTTTGAAAGTTTTCTTTATTTGATTTTGGAAACGTGCAAACCTAAGTGAATTTCTTTGTCCGTAGATCAATCATTCCAACAAAAACCGCCTTGGAGGAAAGCACAAAAGAAGATTTTTCTAGTATAATATGACTTAAAATCGAGATGAAGCGTAAATCTATCACATGTCAATAAAAGTGCTTATCGATCTACATTAGATTATCACCGTTCGGCATATGTCACGGGATATAAGACTATTTCTACAGTTGGAGAATCTAATTAAAATAAAAGAGCAATTAATAAGAGATAACTGCACAAATCATTCATCAAAGCCTGAAAAACTATCGAAAATTAAAACTATTTTTATGAAGATATATATACCGTTCATCTTCGGTGACATGTTTCTATGTTTATGCGAAAAATCTCTTTTTTGACGAAAATTGTCATTTCTTTTTTGAGAGAAGACCATTTATAACAGACAGATTATTACAGATATATTAACTCGTATTTCTGCACACGCCATGATACATTGTAATGAGCATCACAAGAAATAGAAACTTACATATTGGAAGAGAAAACTTCTTTTTCTAAGATAGATATAATACGGTTATATCTTTCTTTGAAGAATTGATTTCATCTCCTAGTTAAATTAGGCCATTTTTCTTTTATCGAATTTTTCAATAAATAATATCATTCACTTTTGTCTCATTAATATCGAAACGAAAATTTAATCCACCAATTTCATTAGATTTTAAACAATATTTTCATTGACAATTTCAACTTATCTATTATTTATTGATTACAAGTCAATTATCAATCGAAATTCTTTTAGTGTATCTCTACTAACAGTATTTAAAGAATGAAACAAATCAATCATCAATAGAACAAACTATTCGAGAACAAGGTCAAACATCGACAAATGAACAAACTAATTCAAATAAATATTAGAATAGAAAAAGAATTATTTCAACCAATTTTATTATCAGTATAAAAGAAAACATTATCAAATGATAATATATCATATCAACAGAAGAAACAACTCAAGCTAATGATGAAGAAGATTCAATGCTTACTAACTTGAACAAGATCAAGGTGAAACTCAACGTAAGAAATATATAAATCAGAATTATTTTTTTTTATAAAACTTTGATTTATTAATTAGAAGGACAAAGATTATTAATAATTATATCTCGAACAATATCAACTATTCGTCCATGTTATGTTCAATTTGATCTATTAGAGAATCAAAATGAGTGGATTGTCAATGAGATTCTTCATTATTTCGATATTTGTTTAAAATAACAAAAGTTTGATTTTTTCGAACGGATTCGATGTATATCTTACTTAACGGATAATTGCATTTGGTCAATCGAACGATCAACTTACAATGAATGGAGAAAAAAATGCAACAATTTGATCAAAATTCAAAAATTCGCTTTTTCGATGATATAATTGATCAAAATAAATTATATTAGAGCTAAACCAATTTTTTCAGCTTCTTCATTATCCTAAATTTAATTAATAGAAAATTTATTTTGCTTTTTCTAAAAGACTTCTATTTGACTTGTATAGTTAAATTTCGAATAATTGCAAGAAGAATTGAACCAGTATCGAATTGATGATTGGTATTTTCATTCAGACGAACTTGATTGAAAAAGAGTCGCTATTAGTGAACTATGAAGATTTAATCATTTGAATAATGTTTCAGCAGTAAGCTAAATGAATATTTTGTTTTTCTATTGGATAAAATTTAAATTTCAAGATTTATTCTTGATTCATAATGGAAATTAAATTCAGAATTTTTATTATAAATATGCA